GCTTCATTGTTCCTTTCAGTACTTACTACCATCTAACAAACTATATATTTACTTGTTTATTTAGCTGTGGATATTCTCCCCTGTTGACTGACAATGCCACGAGGGCATGGGTTTTGCCAGTTTTTGCAGTATCCCCTGTGTTAGAACAGTAGCTGACATATAACAGACATTCAATAAATATGTATTGAACAAATGAGTGAATGAATGACTGTAACCACACGATGGAATGACAACTGTATAGAGTGCAATAAATAGCTGACTTAAAAATAAATATACAACCTTTTTTCAGTAGTAATAACCCTTTGGAGTTTCAGAGAATTTCAAAAGAAAACAAACACCAATCTGACATGCTAAATCTCAAGGGGTTTTATTGATGTCATGCTGCCATGCCGGACACCACAGAAATTAGGACACGAACATTTCCAGCCTAGGTCCCACTGCTAGCTTTTTAACAAAATTTACATAAGAAAAAATAACAACAAAAAAAATAATCTTGCTCATTGGACATTTCATAAGCAACATCTATCCTTTAGCCCTTTACTACTACTTTAACTTCCTAGATATATTAGAAGTGTCAGTATGCCATTGTGACTTTTATCATTAAGAAATGTTTCCCTCAGCAACCCCTGGTGACACAGTCCTAAACATTTTACATATATGTATGTGTATAAATTAAATGAGATTAAGTATATAGAATCTCACATATATAATTATATATAAAATCTAATTTAATTTATATAACCTTGTAAGGTGGAAAGTAGTATTAGATTTCCACCATAAGTATGTGGTTTGTTTGTCTGCGTGTTTTTGTTCTTGTTTTTTGATTTGGGGGTTTTTGGCACCTGGCAGGTATGGAGATCCAAACCCTTTACCTTGTTGTTATTAACACCATGCTCTACCAAGTGAGCTAACTGGCCAGCCCAAGAGTTATGTTTTTAATAGATAAAGAAGTACAAGATCATAGAAGCCTCACATTTCCTGTGAGGATAATGACGGAAAATGCCAGAGAGTATCTTTTGTCTAGACTGCTTAAATACAGCATACAGAATAACTCTTTTAATTTAGATTGAAGCCATCTGTCCCACCCATATCTAATCATAAAGAACCAGACAAATACAAGAATGCATAGTATTAATTTCTGGTACTTCTATTTATACAACCCTTAGAGAAGCAAGTTTAAGGGAAATATCTCCTCCGTCATGCAGCATTGCTTCTCTTTTCTCTTTGTCCAAGCTCTACAAGGTTCTCTGATCTACTCCTGGAGGTCCATGATAGTTGCTACCTTGTTCCTTAAGTTCCAAAAGAAGTAAAAATAAATGAGTTGTGAAAATCTTGGAGAAAAACCACACCTTGATGGCCTAACACTTTGGATAAGTCACTAGACTTCTGTCATTTCCATGGAAATTAAAAAAAAAAAAAGCCTGACCACCTATTTCTTAGTGTTGTATTAAAACAAATTTTAAAAGTATAAAAGATTCAATCTATCAATATGTTAAAGAGAAATTCCAAATCAATAGGATTATAAAAACAACGATCTCATTAATCAGTAATTTAAACCAGCAGTTAGTTGAAAATACGCCAGATCTTAGGGACACACTTATAGTAGGTAGATTTCCTGTCATATCAGCAACAGCTGTGCATTTGACAAAATCACCAAAATCCAATTTATGAGTATTATGGCATATGTGATGGTCCACCCATTTTCTCAATCCACAGGGAGAGTGTTGTAGGTACCACGTTTTCCCTCCCACCCTAAATAAAAATATGCAGTACGCACCTTATTAGAACTACAGCTAGCCACGAGGGTTTGCCCATGAACTAGGAATGCCTGTTTGTGTCTCCTTCCATTTTGCAGTGGAAACATGTATGCAACATCATACAGCACGCTGTTGCCCCCTCAGTGAAAACATATGAAATGGAGATATCCATGGCAAGTCTTCCAGAAAAGGAACAGAAGTGCTTTTATCTATTCTAAACCCCTATGCCTCTGCCACTGGTCCATCACCACTGCTAATATGAGAATTCTCTTTCTTCTTCATGTTTAGATGTTAAGACTCTAAAAGAATCTATCATCAGTCTTTCTAAACTCCATAACCCAGCTAGGAATTTTCCATGCTAATATGCATCACTTGCTGCTTCCAATCACAGTGTCAGTTCTAAAATTCATTCCAGACTCCTTAACACTTCTAAGCACTAACACATCATTTAGTCCTAAACCCCTCCCAACAGGCTCATTCTGCTGGACCAATTTTATAGGCAGGAAAGTAACTGGGAACCTGGCCTTGAATTCTGTGATGAATGATACAACAGCCAAGCTGGAGAAACAGCCTTGGAAGCCCTGAATCCCCATCCCCTATCAAATGCCTCTGAAGAACCCTAGATCGTCCTCTGTCAAATTATTTATAGGTGACAAAAAATATTTCTAATTATATCCATTCACAGCCAGAGTCAGTGAATATTATGCAAAGAGATTGCCAAAAAAGGATTTGCCAAATAGGTCCCCAGCTAGGACAGCTGAGGTGGCTGCTGTGTTTGCAGAATGGTCTCTATAAAAGTGGAGCTGAAATGCCTCTGTCCCATCCTTCCTCAAAATTCTTAAAGGTATGTATACATGGAAGAACATTTGGCTAGTTTTACACTCCTGCTGATATGATTTTTTATTTAAGGGCAATGGCTACTATTTCCCAAATTTCAATTTTTCTTTCCAACGTTCCTAAGGATGATATTGTACGCAATGGAGTTACTAGCATTTTGTGATTAGATTTTTTTTAAAAGACTTGCATGTCCTCTTTGTTTTTTCTTTCAACAGCAGTGTCTGCTTTGAGACTGCCACCTTCTTCATCTGGTAACACAAGAGGTAAGAGTAATTTATTATTACACCCTAAAGAACAAAGACATCTCTATATTGCTGCATCTTAATAAGCTACCATTTTATATCCTAGTTTAGAACTGAGAATAAGATACAAGGAGCAGCTGTGCTTTAAAAATGGCTTCTCATAATATTTTGACTTTTTAGGTCATTGAACTGAACAAAATTTAATGAAACTCCTCTTTCACATGTTGTTAGAACTTCAGAGAGATGCAACAATCACATGTAATATTTAATGTGAACTACTACTACTCCAACTTAACTAATAAGGACCTATGAGAGAGACCACATGGTAAAATCAATGATGTGTTGACCTGGAAGTCAAAATTTCTAGGTGTCAATCCAGGATTTTCACTGATTCTAGTTGCCTGGGTCAAGCCAGTTAGCTTTTGCGTACTTAGAAATACAGTGTGTTGCAGTGGAATTAGCCCTGCATCTGAATTTAGGAGAACAGGGCTCATGGCCCAGCACCGCCACTTAGCACCTCTGTGACACTGAATGACCCTTTACCTTTCAGGGCTTAGTTTCTTCATCAGTAAAATGAGGAGGCTGGGTTCCAGATGACTGCTTAATGTCCTTCCAGCTTTGCTGTCTAGGATCTATATAAGGGATTTCCAAGGACCACTCCACAGAATCAAAACATTTAATGGACCTCCCCCAACTATATGTATTGAGAGATGTACTTTTAGTATTATGTAAAGAATATACATAATGATAAAAACCTACTATACCTTCAACGATTATTTTGAACAAGTTTCTATTTAATGCAGCAGCTATATTCATTTAGAAAAGAACAGAAAACATACTGTTTATGAGGAAATGCTGCTTGTTTGAACTTAAGGCAATTATCGCTGTGTGGGTGGATTCACGGACCTCCTCCAACAAACCTGAGTTGCTTGGGGGCTTGTGACCCACGACTTGGGAAACTACTGATCTGAGACATGAGATGTGGTTGTCCTTGTGTTGCTGGTGTTGGCAAACAAGACACTGCTTCGCACAAGCCATCTGTCTTCCCACTCCACAGAGTCACCTTCTTTTATTCTGGTCACTAATCCTGACTTTGTCATCAGGACAACAGGACTTATTTTATATTCTCATAATTAATTTATCAATGGGGAAAAATGTTAAGCTCATTTGGGCTTGAAACTTTATATTGACTATAATTTCAGAAGAAATATTTAGAAGACTGGTATTTTTAAAAAGAAAGTGGGAGGGAAAGAGACAGATACATAAACTTAAAACAATAAGAATCAGATTTTTTAAAAAAAACTGTTATGCTGAAATCCAGTGAAAAACAAAGAGAAACATACACTAAAAATGTACAATCACTATGGAATTTTATCAAAAATTTAGATGTTTTTTTTAAGAACATTTTAAAGTTATTTTTTGTTTAGATAACACTACTGACTTTCACACAATTTTAAAACTGATAAAAGAGACTTAATTTTGACTTAGAACAAAATCATTTGTTAGATTTTCAGCTTTCAATTGTACTTATTTTTCCCTTTACTTTTCTAATACCTGTCAGTCAACTATGAGTTTATTTGTGCTTATTAGGTATTTTCAACCTGGACTTACGTCCTGAAAGAACAGATGTACACTTTCACATCCAATTTTAATAATTTTTACATCCAATTTTAAGGAAAATTTGCCCAAACATTTGAATTTGTAAAATAGGTTCATTTAGATTATAAAGCCATGGGAAATAGTTATTTTTATTTCTTTGTTTCATCACAATTTTAAAAAAAAGGGGGGTGGGGTTTGGAAAAAAGGAAATGAAAGAAAAGCAAGCAGAAAAAGAAAAGATTCTGAACACACCTGGAGCATCACAAACTTTGATGATTGAATTAATTCTTCCCAATTTCTCAGTTAAGGTTTAAAACAGAGAGGATGGAATGAAGGCTTGAAATGTCACCAGAATTAAGCTACCAACATAGGGCTTTCAAATCAATGAGCTGATCTCTCAGCACCTTGACATAGCACACAGGAAGGTTCCCTAAAGGCAGGGGTGACAAAACAAGCACGGAAAATACAGCACATCAGAGTGAAATCAACAGGACAGTTCTCCACCCCAACCCCAAGTTACCGTCTGGCTTGTTTCTTCCTCTAGGTACATCAATAACCCGCAGCCATGAGTTCCGATGCCGACATGGCCGTTTTTGGGGAGGCTGCTCCTTACCTCCGAAAGTCTGAAAAGGAGCGAATTGAAGCTCAGAACAAGCCTTTTGATGCCAAGAATTCTGTCTTTGTGGTGGATGCTAAGGAGTCCTATGTGAAAGCAACAGTGCAAAGCAGGGAAGCGGGGAAGGTGACAGTCAAGACTGAAGCCGGAGCTGTAAGTAAAAAAAAAAACAAACAGGGGGTATATAATTGATTCTATCTACAACTTAGTTCGATATCCACTGGCTCCTTCTTTTGTTACTTAACAGACTGTCACAGTCAAGGATGATCAAGTCTTCTCCATGAACCCTCCCAAATATGACAAGATCGAGGACATGGCCATGATGACTCACCTGCACGAGCCTGCTGTGCTGTATAACCTCAAAGAGCGCTATGCAGCCTGGATGATCTACGTGAGTGCTCCTTTCACATTATTTTCACTAGCTCCACGTACTTACTGTGTTAGCTTAACAAATTAAGGACTTTATCTCCAGATTTTGCTATTGCAATATTCTCTTAAGACCAATCGTTTGATTAGTGTTGTAGATTCTGATGTATTTGAAAATGTACATGTGGAAAGCTATCTGATCAACTGAATTGGTTGGAAAACTGAAGCATTTCGTGCAGCAGATGACAGAGGGAGGCAACAAATAAATAAAATAATTAAGCCTTAGGGGAACTAACACAGAATGCAAGTCCCTCTCCCTTGCCCTTAGAGTTGTATTTCCATGGTAGATTAATGAGGTGATTGCTGATTGAGCAGCCCTATCCTTTCCCACAGACCTACTCAGGCCTCTTCTGTGTCACCGTCAACCCCTACAAGTGGCTGCCAGTGTACAACCCCGAGGTGGTGACGGCCTACCGAGGCAAAAAGCGCCAGGAGGCCCCACCCCACATCTTCTCCATCTCTGACAACGCCTATCAGTTCATGCTGACTGGTGAGTCCATAATTACAGTTTCTGTAGCAATTTGTAAAATATTTGTATACTAAATAACATAGAACACATAGGACCAGGTCAAGCATAACATTTCATGTTCATGCTAATAGCCATAATAAGATTAGGGAAATATATTTAGAATAAAATGTACCAATCCCCAAAATACAAGAAATTTTACTTTGATTTCTACGCAAAACCAAAATTAAATAATTTTAATTCCAGCTCAAAATTAACCGAATTTAGACATCAACTCTGCATTTTAATTATAGCTAATACATCATCTCTCCTAAAAAGTAAGGTTTGAAATCTCATAGTGACAAGTTATCACAAGCACTATACAAAACTTTGGATTGGACACTAATCACATGACAGAATTTTGAACTGTAAAACCAGGTGTCTGAATGGGACACAAAGCTATTATTCACATGATATTGACAGAATATTCTCATAGATAAAATGGTGAAATAACAGAATTCATATTCCATCACATTAAAGGTAACAGGAGTGTAACACAGCGATTAATTAGCACATCTTTTGCTACTTATTTTTTTTAAATATTGTGAAAAGCAAAGCACAAATTTCTATAGTTATTTTTTTGTGAGTGCAGAGTTTTAAAAGACAATTTCGAGTTTACAAGCACTGTGTTAATCTATGTGCTAAGTGTGCTTTTTCTAAAACATTATCTTCGGTTTCTCTTTCACAGATCGGGAGAACCAGTCAATCCTGATTACGTATGTAGATTTCATGCCTTCTTTCTGTTGAATTTTGATCATTTCAGTGGTTACTACTGCTTTAGATTCTGACTTTTTCTTCTGTTTGAACCTGATAGCGGAGAATCTGGTGCAGGGAAGACTGTGAACACGAAGCGTGTCATCCAGTACTTTGCAACAATTGCAATTACTGGAGAGAAGAAAAAAGAGGAAGCTTCTCCTGGCAAAATGCAGGTGGGTATGATATTCATATGAGAAGGAAAGAAATAATAGAATTCTTAAAATTTGATGATGGTACTTCAAAACCACAGCAACCAATTGCATGTGATACGAGGATCTGGAAAATAACTCTCGGAAGGGCTTATGAGAAAGAGATGGATAGGCAATGTAATGGCAACTTTAATAGGCAAAAGTTCTCACAACCATTTATTAGGAGTGAAAAGTGGGCCTGAGAGATACGGAAGTAAAGGCCACATCACTGCAGTGTCCCACTCCCCCATGGTACGCCTTTTCACTCACTTTAGAAAGCCTTATGCAAAGTTACAGAATACTGCGAAGGGGCAAAGCGGAAGGGAAGGAGGTCATTGGGAAGTGATTTTAGTAGACTACAACTCATCTTTTCTAGAGGTTCTTTATCTATCTTACTCATTTCTTTTAAGGGGACCCTGGAAGATCAAATCATCAGTGCCAATCCCCTTCTGGAGGCCTTTGGCAACGCCAAGACCGTGAGGAATGACAACTCTTCTCGCTTTGTAAGTCTCTTGGTCTTCCTTTTTGTTTGGGAATCGGCACTGACAGTCGGTCTGTACAGAGTCAATATCTTTTCCATTTATTTGGTCCATAGCTAAAGAAACGGTTTCTGCCCTTTTATGTACAATAAGCCCTCTTTTGCCTTTTTCAGGGTAAATTTATCAGGATACATTTTGGTGCCACAGGCAAACTGGCTTCTGCAGATATTGAAACATGTAAGTTAATAAATATTAGTGACTGATAATTTTTTCTTTGGGGGTGCATATTGGAAAATATTGTTCTTATCTATGGCATGTGAAATTTTCAAATGTTTAATTTTTCACTGGGCCTTTTCTTAAGTGCTTAATCTGACTTTCCAGATCTGCTAGAGAAGTCCCGAGTTACTTTCCAGCTAAAGGCTGAAAGAAGTTACCACATATTTTATCAAATTATGTCCAATAAGAAGCCAGAGCTTATTGGTAAGAAGCATCTTTGATTTATTTCTACCAAGGAAGAATAACAGCCCTTAGTCTAAGAAGTCCCTCTAAAATGTTTTTGATGACCGATGTAACTCTGTCTACATATTGTTCCTTTCTGTGTGTCCAGAAATGCTTCTGATCACCACCAACCCATACGACTTTGCCTTTGTCAGTCAAGGTGAAATTACTGTGCCTAGCATTGATGACCAGGAAGAGTTGATGGCCACAGATGTAAGTAATAGCTACAAAGTAGGAAAAAGCAAATTCATTTTCCAGTATACAACACTCTTCTATTAGAGGGGAAAGCATTAGCAGAAAGACTATAAATAGGTAATATTATCTTTTAGGTTATCTTACTGCTGGAAAAAGGCACAGGACATTTCAATGTCTTCTGCCTACACGTGTTAGTAAGTTTTAAATGCCTGTAATAAATGTGAGGTCTTTGACATTCCTTGGCTAATTTTTGGCCAATGTTTGTACTCCAATATTGATGTTTCTCCTCTATTTTATGTCAGACCCTACACCCATGAATCTGAGAAAGAGCCACAATATATTTACATTTTTAAATAACAGAACATGAAATTCCCACAGTTCCTCTAAAGTCAGATGTAAACACAAACTCTGTTTAGAATGAACCTCTGTGGGCTAATGGTATAGCCCTCTCCTCCCTATGTAGCATTAGAAGAAATGGGTTGACTACCTCAAAAACACTCTTTTTGTGACTCCATGAGCCTTTACTTTTGAAACTACAGATTCTTCCCCTCACACACACCCCACCACCTCTTTTTTAAAGGATTATTAATTTTTGGCTTATTTCCTTTATATATAAACTTTATACATATTTCATGTTTTCTTTTTAATTTCTGAATAAACTTCTTTGATTATTTTTAACTTTAATATCAGTAGGAATATTCCAACATTCCCAAGATAGGGTTGAAAGCTGCTTACAAAAGTATTTTTTCTTTTAAAATACTATTTTCAAGAAGTTGATAATCTATTTGTGTGCCTTTATATATAAGCATTTATTCTCTATAACTTTTTATGTACATATGTCCAAAATTGATAAAGACCCCTAGTCTAAAATGTTTAAAAAAATGTAGCAGTCTTTCTCTAGGATTTCTGTAATAGTCTAAATTCTGTAAATAGGTAGAGTCAGTGAACTGGAACTAGGAGGCAATAATCTGGGGAAAGAGTCTTAGGAGATAAGAGTGGTAAACAAGCATACTTTTTCTACCTTCTCTGATGCCTGCCCCCATTTATAAGTCTTTTCAAAGCCTAGCATGGGCAATTAAGAAGGCAATCAAAATCCAGCAGAGAAAAAAGACACAAAAATATTTCACAAAGTGGAAAAAGTTCTTCTTTTCACAAATGTGTCTTCCCGCATGAATAATGAATGAGCAGGTAGCGTTCAGTCTCAGGCATCTCATGGTCAGCTGAGCTGTGGCTTGATATTAGAGAGGAATGTGGAGAAATACCTGGAGCTATTGCTGCTGTCCTCATGTCCTCTTTCCACCTGAATCATTGACGCCCATTAGAGTGCGAAGGTAGACTGTGATCATGTATTAGGCTAGGACAACATAGGAGAAGGAGCCAAGGAGAGATTTGTGAGACTGGAGAAAAGCAGCAAGGACAGCCAAGCCAAGGAGCATGGGCCTGAGGACCGAGGATAGGCTGAGACGGAGAAATGATAAAAGCACTGGTCTTGGCACCAAAAGTCATGAGTCTGAGTCCTGGTTGAGTGAATGTGGGCAAGTCACATAACATCATTATTGTCCATATGACTCAAATGGAAAGACTGATACATATCTCTTGATGTTGCTATGTGGATCAGAGAAGTGAAGGATGTGTGTGCCTTTTGAAAACGGCAAAGTGCTAGTCCAATATAAGGCAAGGCAAGATGAGGAAAAAGTGAGGAGGCAGGCCCCTGTGTCCTGGATTATAATTGAGAGGTAAGTAAATTCAACTCTCTTGACAGAGTGCTGTGGACATCCTGGGTTTCAGCTCTGATGAAAAGGTGGCGATCTACAAGCTCACTGGGGCCGTGATGCATTATGGAAACATGAAATTCAAGCAAAAGCAAAGGGAAGAGCAGGCTGAGCCAGATGGCACTGAAGGTACCACCACACCCTGTTGATATCTTCCATTTGACAGAACCAACACCATGAGCTTTTCAGAGTCAGGGACTGTGTTTTTACCTTCTTTGAACTATCTCATGAGGAGAAAAAATATTAGGGGAAGAAAATGACAAACTGTCTGATGTTTTACATGATTGAGCATATTTGCAGAGATTTGTGATTTCTGCCCATTCCATTTTTCATTGACTTTCTATAAGCTAATATTTTCTATTTGATTAAAACATTTTTTATTCCAGTGAATAATTTGTGTACCCACTGAAAAAAACAGATATCTGAATTTTCCTGTCACTACTCCTCTAGGTTAGGGTTTCTCAAATTATTTTTATCTTTGGTCTACTTTTGCCATATTTTAAATGTCATACAGATATTACATAACAACTAGAGGAGAGGCTTTTGAATGTTTTCACCACAAAGAAATAATTAATGCGTGGTGATTGACACATTAACTACCCTAACTCAATTATTATGCAACATATGTATGTATCAAAATATCAGATTGTACCGCATAAGTATGCACAATATATAAGTTAAAAGAAAAAAGAAAAAAAACACTATGCATACTGGATAATAATAAAAATTATATTACCTCCAAATTGTGTGTGTGTGTGTGTGTGTGTGTGTGTATCACACAGAGCACCATTCCCCAAGCTCCAATTTACCATCACAAGAAATGGCTAAACTTAGTGAAAACAATGGCAATGATTTTGAAGCAATATGAACAAATGAACAGTTTTCACAACATTTGCACATATTACTCTTTGAGCAAAACCATTTTTTTCCATGATCACTCACCTCTTAAATTGTGTAAGCCATGATCAGTTTCAATATTCTCACCTTGTTCATGCAGTTGCTGACAAAGCTGCCTATCTGACAAGTCTGAACTCTGCTGACCTGCTCAAAGCCCTGTGCTACCCCAGGGTCAAGGTCGGCAATGAGTATGTCACCAAAGGCCAGACTGTGCAGCAGGTAAGTGCATGATCTCAATGCATCACACACCTCTCAGGCCTTCATGACATGTCTTTAACAACACCAACAAACATGACTTTATCTGTGAAGGTGTACAATTCGGTGGGTGCTCTGGCCAAAGCCATCTACGAGAAGATGTTCCTGTGGATGGTCACCCGCATCAACCAGCAGCTGGACACCAAGCAGCCCAGGCAGTACTTTATCGGAGTCTTGGACATTGCTGGCTTTGAGATCTTTGATGTAAGTAGTGAATTGACAGAAAATTCACAAGTGCAAATCATCAGTCATTTGATTGATCTTCTAACACCATTCAAAATTATCTTTACAAAATGTACTTTTCAAAAAGCACAACCTATAATTCCTGCTGAAAAGGGTCTTCAAATAAATATAAAAGCTAGTAAATAGGTATAAATAGAAAAAGAGAGAGAATTCTACTCTTTCAAGTCTAGAAGTCTCGAAGAATGATCCTTGAGAGGTTAAAATATTCAAAATCTATTCTGGATCCAAGCAGATGAAACATTTTCTTAAAATTCTTTAAGAAAATATTTGAGTCCACATTTACCAGTATTTTGACTAATATGCATGATTTCATGCAGTTCTTGGAAAGCAAAGTATTTCAGGAGTCAATTCTCCTTTGTTTAGAATTATATCAGAAGTTAAGAAAACAATCTGAAGTTTTATAATTTAATAAACCAAAATGCCTGAAATTCATAAGAAAATATTGGTAGCTGCTCTGTAGATATAAATATTTAAGTTATGAGTAATTTCCTATATTTATCCTTTCCTATAGTTCAACAGCCTGGAGCAGCTGTGCATCAACTTCACCAACGAGAAACTGCAACAGTTTTTCAACCACCATATGTTCGTGCTGGAGCAGGAGGAGTACAAGAAGGAAGGCATCGAGTGGGAGTTCATCGACTTCGGGATGGACCTGGCTGCCTGCATTGAGCTCATTGAGAAGGTTCACATGTGACTTTTCAGGCCTTAAACACAGGAAAATCAAACTTCCCATCTCCCTATGCTTAACTACAATCCTGATTCTCAAAGAACAGGCAGTGGTGATTCATGACACATTTGTGTACACTGACCAGTTGCCAGCTGTGTCACAAGTCATCTGTTATTCATGAATAAAGTACAGTACTTTGTAAAAAAAAATTATAAAACACTCACATTCAGATTCACATTTATCCTTCTAATAACTTCATTCTCCTTCACATTTATTCCTACATGACTTCATGCATATGGGAGAAAGGGATAAAATTATAGCTAGTCCTCTGAGTATTGTAATTAACTCTGGTGTATCCCTGATGGTGTACTGTGCATGCATCCTCCTTCATGTGTAACAAGGCAGGATATGTTAAGATGTCTTAAAGGTTGGAAAGTTAGCCCTTCAACTGTTGCAGTCATTAAGTCTTTCTCTATTCATGATGACTACTGAAAAAAACACCAAACCTCTATCTGACCTTACCTAGAAAATGAGCCCTGAATTGCCCAATACCAAGGGGGGTGGAGCAATAGTTACATCATATCTGGTTATGTTAAAACTCATCATGTGATCATTAAACACTTTCAAAGTGTATTGGGAATTACTTGTGTATCTTGATACCAACAAAGTATACGTGTGGACCCCATCCTAAGCAGTGGGAAGGAGGAAATAAATGCAACTGCCATCTAGGAAAACTTCAAATATGCAGGTCAAAAGTCACAAAAATGTGAAAGATAGAGTGTAAAAACAGACTAGGTTTGCACAATTTGGGAAAAAGATATGTTAATTTGGTGATATAATATCTCTACTATTCATGAAAATTGTACGATCCTCAGGAAAAGCATTTATTTTCTTCTCTAGTATTTCAGTTTCTGGATCATCAAAGTAGTTTTTGGGAGACAATTTGTGAACTTGTGAAATCATCAATGTTGAATTTTTTTTTCAGTCTTTCATATCAAATTTGCCACTGAAAAGAGTCAAATTGCTTAGAAAGCAAAACCAAATTGCCATCACTTAACTCCACAGTAGTGGGGATTATAGCTTACAGTACAAAGAGGTTTAATGATACAACATGAGATGCACTTTTCTCCTGGAAATAGATCATTTTTAGTCATTATACACAATCTTTCTTCTTTTCATACTTTTGTCGTGCCTGGATTTGAGGTGAAGGAAGTTAACTGACAGTAAGGAAGTATTCAGATATATACATTTATGGAATATATAATTGTTTTAAAATAGCACTTCCAGAATTTAATATTATACACTGAACATAAAGTTTGCCAAATGGCACAGATGAACTTTTTTTTATGAGTCTTCCTAGCAAACATATTTCCCATATGCTCTTGATACATGACTGTTTCACATTTCATTAGCAGAGGAGAGTCAACGAAGTAGGATTATATCTGTTTAACTTACCATTCAAAGTATTATCTTGAAACATTGTATTTTCAGGTTTCTACCAACTACATAAACCATTGAAGCCTAATTTTCTGAGGGACTCATTACTGTCACCCCTTTTTTCCTATTCTCAGCCTATGGGCATCTTCTCCATCCTGGAAGAGGAATGCATGTTCCCCAAGGCAACAGATACCTCCTTCAAGAACAAGCTGTATGAACAGCATCTTGGAAAGTCCAACAACTTCCAGAAGCCCAAGCCTGCCAAAGGCAAGGCTGAGGCCCACTTCTCGCTGGTGCACTACGCCGGCACCGTGGACTACAACATCACTGGCTGGCTTGACAAGAACAAGGACCCCCTGAATGAGACCGTGGTTGGGCTGTACCAGAAGTCTGGAATGAAGACGCTGGCTTTCCTCTTCTCTGGGGCACAAACTGCTGAAGCAGGTAATTTTTAATATCATCAATATATTCCAACAGTTGCAAGATAGAAATATACTGTTTATTAGAGACGGATATAGCTCTAGCAAAACCTAACCTGAGAATACTAGCCAATATGAGTCGAATGAAAGGAACTATATTTAATAACTGTGACACAGCCTTACAATTATAGTCTTTCAGAGTTAAAATTGACATATATAGATCATTTAGTCCACAGCCTCATTTTATCAATGAGAAAACAGAGACTTAGACAGGTTAAACAACTAGCTCAGGATCGTACAACTCATTTCTACCATTCTATAATGGTTCCCTCAAGGATCCAGCTAACTTGAAGATAAGGGAATCCTTTGTCAGAGCCCTAGTGCTTGGGAAATTGAAGTTCTGCTCTCTTCAGTGCCCTAAGACCAGATGTGCAAGTAACAACATGGAAATACAGGCAAACAGGAAATAGGACTTCCCTCAGGTGAGCAGAGGCTCACCTACTTAGGACTGACAATGCAACTTTACCTATTCCCTGGGGTACTAAAAGGGCATTGCTACTGTCTCTTGGGCACTTCCTTCAAGGAACAGACATTGCTGATTGGAGCAGAGAAGTCCCACTCCCTACCTACATCTACCCGTTTCACTCACAATCCTCTCCATAGAAATTATTCCCATTGGGCACATTCTATATTTTTTTTTCAGTTTTAAAAAAAGTTTATAATGTACAAAAATAGAAAATAGAAGGACAAGTTGGGAATGTGGAAATTCTAGAGATAATTCCTTGAAAATTCAAATTGAGATATTATTCATTAGAATCAAGCCAGTGTCATGGATCATGATAATTAGGTCCATAAGCATGAATGTATGAAAACAATGCATTTATTAAACCAAATTTTCATATGATTCCACAGGAGAATTTGAATAAGCTGATGACCAACTTGAGGAGCACCCACCCCCACTTTGTACGATGCATCATCCCCAATGAAACTAAAACACCTGGTAAGACATTTCTGATATCCAGACAAGCTCCAGTGTGTCTGCTTTAGACCATGTAATACAGCACATGTATTCTCTTTTAGGGGCCATGGAGCACGAACTTGTCCTGCACCAGCTGAGGTGTAACGGTGTGCTGGAAGGCATCCGCATCTGCAGGAAAGGATTCCCGAGCAGAATCCTTTATGCAGACTTCAAACAAAGGTTTGAGTCTCATTATTTTTCCCTTTCACTATGTTAGTCTACATCAAAATTGCTACATAATTCAAACATTTTTAACTATTCTTTGAAAAATGAAATGCAGTTATTTGAAATGTTATTATAAAAGAAAGAAGGTTAAGTTTATATTATCATAAGTTTTTCATCATATCTTCCCAATTTTCACTTAAAACACTTTTTGATTTTCTTAATGGCATTTTGTTTCCCAAAACTTAATCTGTCATCTTTTCAATGACAGCTACCAAGTGTCCTACTACCTTTTCCTTTTTCAATAAAGAAAAACCACATTTTTATGTTCTTTTTATACTGACAGATACAAGATTCTAAATGCAAGTGCTATCCCAGAGGGTCAGTTCATTGATAGCAAGAAGGCTTCTGAGAAACTGCTAGGGTCTATAGACATTGACCACACCCAGTACAAATTCGGTCATACCAAGGTACCACCAGCCCAAATCTCTATCTATCACAATTTCATTACTTTTGGGCTTTCTCCTGAGAAGAAATAACATATTTAACTTGTTCTTTGGTGAGGTTTTCTTTAAAGCTGGCCTGTTGGGAACTCTAGAGGAGATGAGAGATGAAAAGCTGGCTCAACTCATCACACGCACTCAAGCCGTATGCAGAGGGTACCTGATGAGGGTGGAGTTCAAGAAGATGATGGAGAGGAGGTGAGGTACCAAGCACAGGTCTTCCTTCTCCATGCTTTCACAATCTGGTACAGTCATTATTTCTGTTGAGTAATGGTCACTTTCCACATTCTTCTTCGTTTGCATTTTTTTCTTCTCCTCCAGGGAGTCCATCTTCTGCATCCAGTACAATGTTCGTGCTTTCATGAATGTGAAGCACTGGCCCTGGATGAAGCTGTATTTCAAGATAAAGCCACTTCTCAAGAGTGCGGAAACAGAAAAGGAGATGGCTACCATGAAGGAAGATTTTGAGAAGACCAAAGAAGAACTGGCTAAATCAGAGGCAAAAAGGAAAGAACTGGAAGAGAAGATGGTAGCTCTGATGCAAGAGAAAAATGACTTACAACTCCAAGTTCAAGCTGTGAGTATCACACATTGCACAGTTAAGCCACATCTTATTTTCCAATGACTGCCCTACTGGACATGAGAATGTTTTTTAATTTAAGGTATTAAAATAAATGGTTTTCACTCAAACATTGCTTGTGATTATTTGCCTTTCAAAAATACTAAGACTCAGACTTGAAGAAGCAGTAGATGCGAAGTCACATATTATGCTACATATGTAAATATGTGCATACATACACAATTCGGTCATCAGTGAGCAAAGTCATAAAATATCCCCATTTTCCTGTCTTTATGAAACTTTCTCTTAGATTAGACTCTTCTCTCTTCAGTGAATATTTTTGTGCATAAAATAGAAGTAATGTTGTTTCTACCAGGGCAGGAAAAAGGTTAAATTAATCCCCCCTTAAATGTGAGAAAACTGAGTCCTAGAATGAATGTGACTTTTTCAAAGTAGCAAAAGTTAATAAGTTGTGGATTTTTACCAAAAGGCTAGTTTTTCTGATTTGACACTTCACACATATATATCTGGAAGAAATCTGTTAGTAGACTTAATCAGTAGATAGAAATCATTAACATTTTGTCCATTTGATTTTTAAAAGGTGGCAAGTTAATTGGCATATGTGTTATATATCTGGAAGAAATCTGTTAGTAGACTTAATCAGTAGATGGAAATCATTAACATTTTGTCCATTTGATTTTTAAAAGGTGGCAAGTTAATTGGCATATGTGTTGACCCAACTGGTAGAGTCACTGAAGTTTCCATCTTTTAATAAATTATTGTGCATTTGCAGATATAACTTAGACAAATGAAAATGTTTAATTTCCCCCTTTAGGAAGCAGATGGCTTAGCTGATGCAGAGGAAAGATGTGATCAGTTGATTAAAACCAAAATCCAACTTGAGGCAAAAATCAAAGAGGTGACTGAGAGAGCTGAGGATGAGGAAGAGATCAATGCTGAGCTGACAGCCAAGAAGAGGAAACTAGAGGATGAATGTTCAGAACTGAAGAAAGACATTGATGACCTTGAGCTGACACTGGCCAAAGTCGAAAAGGAGAAGCATGCCACAGAGAACAAGGTACAAATCAGTATCCATTTTAGAGTATTTATAAGCACAAACTTGCTACTGAAGTATTTTAATTGATAATTTAATCTTAAACATATTAAGTATGAAAGAAAAACACTGTGATAATTGTCATCTGTTCAGTCTTCACCATCTCTATCAATTTACCTTGACCTTTAGCTCAGATTTTTTTCAGCCATGTAGGCCCAGGTTAGCTTCTGGTTTCTATTTTCCATCTCTGGCTGACATTGTGTTTTTCATCAAGACAACAGGATGTCATTCACATTCCTGTTGTCTGCTCAAATCTAAAGGTGAAAAACCTCACAGAAGAGATGGCAGGCCTGGATGAAACCATCGCTAAGCTGACCAAAGAGAAGAAAGCCCTCCAAGAGGCCCACCAGCAGACCCTGGATGACCTGCAGGCAGAAGAGGACAAAGTCAACACCCTGACCAAAGCTAAGATCAAGCTAGAACAGCAAGTGGATGATGTAAGTCTAGCATTATCAAGGAAATTATTTTCTTCTAAAGAAAACTAAGCATTCCTTCTGACTCAACATTATTTATATTTAGCTTGAAGGGTCCTTGGAGCAAGAAAAGAAACTTCGCATGGACCTAGAAAGGGCTAAGAGGAAACTTGAGGGTGACTTGAAGTTGGCCCAAGAGTCCATAATGGACATTGAAAATGAGAAACAGCAACTTGATGAGAAGCTCAAAAAGTAAGTTTGGAAGGATTGCTTATGGATTTGCTTCCAGTGTTGAATATGGACTAAATTGTTGTCTTTTGCTACTTTCCTAAAAGGAAAGAATTTGAAATGAGCAATCTGCAAAGCAAGATTGAAGATGAACAGGCACTTGGCATCCAACTGCAGAAGAAGATCAAAGAATTGCAAGTAGGTACATGATTTCCATCAGTCTGGCTCAAAGAGGCACAGTTATAACACAAAGAAGCTGAGTTTGTGCTTGTTGCCCTTCCCAGGCCCGCATTGAGGAGCTGGAGGAGGAAATCGAGGCAGAGCGGGCCTCCAGGGCCAAAGCAGAGAAGCAGCGCTCTGACCTCTCCCGGGAACTGGAGGAGATCAGCGAGCGGCTGGAAGAAGCCGGTGGGGCCACTTCAGCCCAGATTGAGATGAACAAGAAGCGGGAGGCTGAGTTCCAGAAAATGCGCAGGGACCTGGAGGAGGCCACCCTGCAGCACGAAGCCACGGCTGCCTAATTCAGCTATAACCTGCTTGCTGTATGTCATTGTAGCTGATATGTGTGTTAAAAAGTTCTCCAAAATATTAATTCATGGCACATGGAAAAAAAGTGGATAATGATATCTTTGACTTTCTGATTTAATGCAAATGGTACATTATTGACTTGTAAAACATCTACTACTTACTTCCTTAACACCAGTAGAATACGGAATTTCAATTATACATAGAAAAGAAGATTGGTAAGAGAATTGACTATTAGCTAACATTCTGCTCTTCTAAAAGGAAAGAGTTTGAAATGAGCAATCTGCAAAGCAAGATTGATGACGAACAGGCCCTGGGGATGCAGTTGCAGAAGAAGATCAAAGAGTTACAAGTAAGTCATAACCTCCATGTTTTGGACATTCCAGGAAACAAAACCTGCCATAAATTCACATTAATGTTGACATATCACGCCCAGGCCCGCATCGAGGAGCTGGAGGAGGAAATCGAGGCAGAGAGGGCCTCCAGGGCCAAAGCAGAGAAGCAGCGCTCTGACCTCTCCCGGGAACTGGAGGAGATCAGCGAGCGGCTGGAAGAAGCCGGTGGGGCCACTTCAGCCCAGACTGAGATGAACAAGAAGCGGGAGGCTGAGTTCCAGAAAATGCGCAGGGACCTGGAGGAGGCCACCCTGCAGCACGAAGCCACGGCTGCCACCCTGAGGAAGAAGCACGCGGACAGTGTGGCCGAGCTCGGGGAGCAGATTGACAACCTGCAGAGGGTCAAGCAGAAGCTGGAGAAGGAGAAGAGTGAGATGAAGATGGAGATCGATGACCTTGCTAGTAACGTGGAGACTGTCTCCAAAGCCAAGGTTTTTTTCATCTTTATTTGCAGCAATTCAAAATGACCAAGTTTATATATAACTATATATAGCTGAATTGCACAAACATTAGATATTATCTGAGGTTTAAAATTGATTCCTACTAGACATTATTGTATTGAATTTAATCACTTCAGTTCTCATACCTCATTTATGGATATCACTGTAAACTTTGTCAGTATTACCATGAAAGAATGCAATTACAAGAAAGACTTATATAAAAACCATATTCTATGTGATGCAGAATTTAAATGATGCTCATGTTTTCTAAAAGAAAATAATCTAATTTTGAAAATCTTGTGTTCATTTACTCAGCCAAAATTATGTGCCTGTACTACTTTCTAGGCAATACGCAGGGCTTTAATAGAAGAGTAAATAAAACTCAACCACTTTCCACAATTAGTTACAGATCTCCAAATACCAGGCTTCCAAACAGAAATGTATTGTCCTTTTCTGTTTTCTACTTCCCATCACAGGGAAATTTCGAGAAATTGTGCCGCACCCTAGAAGACCAGCTTAGTGAAGTGAAAACAAAGGAAGAGGAGCAACAACGTTTAATAAATGAATTGTCAGCCCAGAAGGCGCGTTTACACACAGAAGCAGGTCAGTACATGAACATCAGCCTTTGGAGAGGTAAAGAATGAAAGACAAGTCTCTACCCCTCAAACACAGATCATTTATCAGGCTACGTACACTCATTTATCATTTCTTAGTTACTCCTTCACGTTTTTATAACAAGATGGTAAGAAGCAATGATTTTAAGCTACTCTTAGAGTTGGGAGAAACAGTTAAGCTCCTGGGGCTCAGGAGATTTTTGCTGCCTCAGCATTACTCAAAAAATCTCAGATCCTAAAATATCAAAGAAAGCTCATATACTTTTTAAGCAAGACAGTCTTCTTAACAGCACGGAAGCTCTTGAGTTATTCTTTTCATCATATGAAATAAGGGGGTTCTAATGTTATTCCATTCTTTAAATTCTTCTTCCCCTGGAGAACAGAACTAAATCACTCATGCTTTGTCTTCCACAGGTGAGTTTTCACGACAGCTAGACGAGAAAGATGCTTTGGTTTCTCAGCTGTCCCGAGGCAAACAAGCATTTACGCAACAGATTGAGGAATTCAAGAGGCAGCTAGAAGAAGAGTCTAAGGTGAGGATTACCCAGTTGATACTTTGAATCACTTGAACTGTGCAACATGACACACTAGTGAACTGCACACAGAGGATATCAATCTTTAGAATATAATCTTACATCACACACTTTTTGGTTGGTCTAGGCCAAGAACGCCCTGGCCCATGCCCTGCAGTCAGCCCGCCATGACTGTGACCTGCTGCGGGAACAGTATGAAGAGGAGCAGGAAGCCAAGGCTGAGCTGCAGAGGGCCCTGTCCAAGGCCAACACTGAGGTTGCCCAGTGGAGGACCAAATACGAGACGGACGCCATCCAGCGCACGGAGGAGCTGGAGGAGGCCAAGTATGAGCTTTCAGTGAGGGGGGCAGAAAGAAAGTAAAAACAGTGAAGGAAAAATGTAAGAAAGAGAATATTCCAGGAATGGGGATATGTGAAAGATTTCAGCCTATTTGATTGTAGGGTGGTGAATTCTACCATATTCCCCTTCCTAGAGCACAGCGTATGTCCACTGGAGAATAAGACAGGACCAGAGCCTTCCCCCTATTCTGGTATAAAAACATCTTAAATTTCTTTCCACCAAAAGAGTTTATTAATTATCAGCATACCCTTTATTAATTAAGTAGAATTAATTTCCTTTAATAGAAGTAAAATGGAGATATTGAGACTATAAATATTATATAATTAAGAAAAATCAGTTTTTCCTTAGCTGGAGTATTTAATGTTCAGAATAAGACTATCATACCCTGTCATCAATTAAACTAACCATTAGTACTGATTGACTTATTCACTAATTACACATCCTGTTTGTGGAATAAAACTCAAGGGAGTTACACATAGAAGGAAAAAAAATTCATAATTCATTCCTATTGAAAGAAGGCTTTCTAAATTTTTTTTATCTCAGTAGTTGTTATAAATAGACAGAATGAGAAGGTTGAGCAAGCATTTGCAGAGAGAGCATTCTAGATAAGAGTATTGGCTGGGGGAGGTCAGAGACTGGGTTGGCAAAGGGAGCAATAAATTAGACTTCGGAGAATATTTGGGAAATGGAATTATGGAATAATATTTGTCTGGGGTCACCAAATCTGGAAAGTTTTGATTAATAGTATGACCTTGAACATGTCATTCTGGGCCACGGTTTTCTCATCCATAAAGAGGACCAAACTAGAAAAAGCTTAAAGATCCCATTCAATGCTAACATTGTGTGATAAGGTCTCCTGTTGATGGCTGCCATTTCTTCCTCACCCTCACACTCTCACACTGCTCACTCAGCTCAAGGGCTTACTCCTATGCTCTCTCTCTTTCTCTCTCTCTCTCTCCCTCCTTCTCTCTCTCTCTCTCCCTCCCTCTCTCTCTCTCTCTCTCTCTCTCTCTCTCTCTCTCTCTCGCACACACACAAAATGGCTTCATAAATATGTTTGACAACATCTAAGATAGATCAAGAACTCATTAGGGAAAATACAATTGTAGAAGACATAAAATGGATACTAAGAAGCTATTTTAGAAAAACTTAACATGTGAACATAGATGCAAAAAATCTTGGGGAAAATCTGCTTTCCTGGTCAGCAGTTTTATAAAGTTCACAGTGGTGACTTTGGTCACTAACATTGACCCACCTTTCAGGAAGAAGCTGGCCCAGCGTCTGCAGGATGCTGAGGAACATGTAGAAGCTGTGAATTCCAAATGTGCTTCTCTGGAAAAAACAAAGCAGAGGCTACAGAATGAAGTGGAGGACCTCATGATTGACGTGGAAAGATCTAACGCTGCCTGTGCAGCTCTCGATAAGAAGCAAAGGAACTTTGACAAGGTAGCCCACATTTTTGGCTCCCTAGGGAGCAATCGGCATCATTCTTGGTGTCGGCTGCTTACTATCAATGTACTTCCAGGTTCTGGCAGAATGGAAACAGAAGTATGAGGAAATTCAGGCTGAACTTGAGGCTTCCCAGAAGGAGTCCCGTTCTCTTAGTACTGAGCTTTTCAAGGTGAAGAATGCCTATGAGGAATCCCTGGATCAACTTGAAACTCTAAAGAGAGAGAATAAGAACTTACAGCGTGAGTTATTATAATCATTCTGTTTCAAAAATGGTAGGGAGATATCTTTTCAATTTTACATACTCCTCAAAAAAATTTTGATATTGTTTTATTAAACTACAGAGGAGATTTCTGACCTGACCGAGCAAATTGCAGAGGGTGGAAAGCATGTCCATGAATTGGAGAAAGTAAAGAAACAAATTGATCAAGAGAAGAGTGACCTACAGGCTGCCCTAGAGGAAGCAGAGGTACATGTTTCATTTCTTCACCTATACGTGATAAATAAATTGAAAAATTAATAGAAACTGAGATCTATCATGTTGCAAACCTTTAGGGGATAACACATGTAATTCAGTGAGAAATACTGAATTGTACTTTGGGAATGCGCAACTAATAAGCTAAAATAAGATGTACGAAAGCTTGTGAGTTCTCTTAATGCCTTCATAAGAAATAATCATAATGTGAAAGGGGGGAAAAAGCTGTTTAGGTAATCTAAATATTGCTTTTATTAAGGCATCTCTTGAGCATGAAGACATAATAAAATTAAATGTGTTTTTTTTCTTTTTTTCTTTTTTTTATTAATTTCAAACAGAACACCAGCCTGATCAACACTAAGAAGAAGCTGGAGACAGACATTTCCCAAATCCAGGGTGAGATGGAGGACATTGTCCAGGAAGCCCGCAATGCAGAAGAGAAGGCCAAGAAGGCCATCACTGACGTGAGCGGAGGGCAACACCATGAGAGGGCAACACCGTGGTGGGCAAACATGAATCATGCTGTGCTCTCTCCACCGTCTTAACTGATTCGGTTTTACTAATCAGGCCGCCATGATGGCTGAGGAGCTGAAGAAGGAGCAGGACACCAGCGCCCACCTGGAGCGCATGAAGAAGAACCTGGAGCAGACGGTGAAGGACCTGCAGCTGCGTCTGGACGAGGCCGAGCAGCTGGCGCTGAAGGGCGGGAAGAAGCAGATCCAGAAACTGGAGGCCAGGGTGGGTCTCTAC